TATTGTGGGACGAGAAGAGTCAAAAAGTACGGTGTCATCCAGTTCAGATTTTTAGCGGCTTACATTACAAATCTGATGTGAAACGAGAAGAGAAGAAAAGTATTAAACGAGCGCAGCCATATGGAAGAAACGCACCATAGTATCAGGTATTAAAGCACCAAGATGCCGCGATAATATTGTAAAATATATATCATAAAATTGTCACATTTAATATTTTCGCATATATTATATACTAATTATTTTATTTCATTAGAAAAAAATTTAAGCACCTCTACATAGAGTATCCATATAAGTACATTTAGCTGATTCTAAATTTTTAATTTACACTTTTTCTTGAGAATTTATAATGAAACCGGAAGTAATGAAAATATACTCTAAAAAAGATTTCCCAAAGGTATTTGTAAATATTCCAAATTTTTTTCACAAAGTATTCAATATGGAATTAATGTACTTAATGTATATATTGTGACGAACAATTTTTTATTACCTAATTTATTTTTCCTATAAATCTGATAGCACAACACTCTCCATACTTAGACGCCAAGTAATCCTATAAGGCGCTAAATACATTCTTTGCGTTTTAGTGTTTATGCGCTAAACATTATTTTTAATTTTGCTTTCTAACTGCGTACAATGGGAAAAAACAAATGCCTTTGCCTTATAGATATTAAAAAAATGTTTTAAATACTGAAATGAATAGTACGGCATTATCAAGATATTAAACAAGAATTATTTATTTTGTGAATATTTATCTTAATTTGGGTACTACAATTATATGGCACGTCATCACCAAAACTTTGAACTATACCAGCAAATATTACTAAACCAAATTAATTAATAAAATATATTTGAAATTATTAAGATGGAACAATGATGAGGTTGAAAGTTCATAAACTTTTTTTGCTTGCTTAATGCATTTAACGCATTTAATTTTAAATGAAGAGACGCAATAACGCATTTGACGCAAGAATTCAATCATCATTTCGCCTTAGCATTATCAATGTATATAAAGACGTTAACATAGTGAAGTTTAATTATAGGTACACACTAGTCAGTGACTATTTACTATATTTACGTCCACCTCCACCAGGAAGTTAAGGTACTATTTAGTACAAACTCGAAACAACCAACCCCTCAATAAGTTTTTTATTTCTCGAAGAGCCAAGGAATATACGATTTAACCGCAACCATTAAGAATTCGAATATATTGTATATTTTTCGTAAATTTCTTTGATATTATAAGTGAATTATTTACTTTTTATTTATTTTAAATATAAACATTCGATTTACAGTAAATTAATGTAAAATAGTAGATGGTTCACGTACTTAGACCTTTTTTAATTTATATTATAGTGATATTATTCATTTTCTTATTAATTCTGAAAGATCGATAAAAAAAAATTTCTTAAGAAAATAAAAACAAAAAAAAAACACATGGACTATAAATTAATTAAAAAATTTGAATATTTTCTAAGACTACTGCATATAAATCAATAAATTAACTTAATTTCTGTTATTGTCTCTTAATTTCTATTCGAACTTTTCTGATTTTTAAATAGTTTCTTTTCGTTCTAATTAAAAAATTCGAATATTTCCTAAGACCACTGCATATGAGTACTTGACAATACTCGAAACAGCGTTGTATGGTCAGAGAAATTTCAATAAATTAACTTAATTTCTGTTATTGTCTCTTAATTTCTATTCGAATTTCTATTTCTGATTTTTAAATAGTTTCTTTTCATTCTAATTAAAAAATTCGAATATTTCTTAAGACCACTGCAAATGAGGACTTGGCAATACTCGAAGCAGCGTTGTATGGTCAGCGAAATTTCAATAAATTAACTTAATTTTTGTTATTGTCTCTTAATTTCTATTCGAACTTTTCTGATTTTTAAATAGTTTCTTTTCGTCATGAAGATAATATTAATAATATAAGTCTATACTCAGAACAACCCAATAATTATAAGAATTGAATTTTTTAAGCCGAAAGCCAAAATAGATGGTTCTCTTCTTTTTTAATTGGTATATACATATAATTTTATAGACTTGAATCAAATAAACCAATAATATGAGTTATTATTTTTCTGAATTAACTGAATTAAGTTGAAAATTGTTTGATTATAAATAATTAATTTGTTCGCTTTGTTATTATTATTATTTTGTTTGGTGAATTTGCACTGTGACCTATAGTTTTATTGTGCTCCATTCATGGACTAAGAGATTTTCTCCAAGTCCAACTTTTACTATAAATTGTAGCATTAAATCAACATTACAAAGTTTAATTGCTTTCTTTTCTTAGTATTTATACACCTTAATAACTCTCAAAATTAGTGATCTAATCACTTCGCTTCTTCCTGAAAATAAGGAAAGAAAGAATGTTGGTAGAATGTTGGTTGGTAGAATTATAGCAGAAGGAAGAACGTTCACACACCTCCGCAAACAAACGCCATTGGAACTTTAATCTATGACCGACTTCAACAGACGGATTTGCTACTGAGCACAGTTATTTCAAGCCCACAAAAATTTTAAGTACTATTTAGTC